TACCAGATTAATAGGCAGAATTTTCATTTTATTTTTAATATTTTTCTAAGTAGAAATATTTGAATATTTGTAATGGTTTAAATAAATACAATTTTATATGGTTATAAATTCGAGTTAGTTGTTACTGTTCTTAGTGGTCAGTAGTTTAAACATGCTAACTTTAAATTTATTTGAAAATTTCGACGGCTAATTATAATTATATTCCCGAGATACCAAATTGATATGTAGAATGTTTATTTCCTTTTAAAAAGGAAGTATTTGTAATGGTTTGAATACATACTGAATTGTATTTGGGTATAATTTCGAGTTAGTGGTTGCTGTTCTTAGTGGTCAGTAGTTTAAATAATCATCGGCCATATTTGTTTGACCAGTGACCAGTACTTTTAGGCCTAAGGCAAATATTTAAATTAGGAGAATAAGAAGCGTGGATTCTGTTGTTAAACTGTAGACATTAGTAGATAAATGTAAACAAATAATAAATTTGAATTAAAATAAGGCTTTTATAACAGCGTGTATGTCGGCCATTGATAGATTCAAAGCCGTAAATAACCAAAACAAACACTTCAAGCACAGCTGCAATGGCAGACCAGTTCGTGCGGTGCATGTCGACACGAAACACAAACAATCCCGAACAAAGAAATAGATACAACTTACCAACAGCACAAGAAAATCCTCCGCTAAAACCATGTTGTTCTTGGAAAATCCTTTAAAATTACAACTTAGTTGATTCGATTGATCATCCATGATTTAAATCATCATATAAATTCACAATAATAAACCAAAACCACTGCATATAATAATTCTGTCATTCGTTTGAAATCTGTAATAGTATTTCAAGCGTCGCGCGTGCTGAAATAAACAACCAATGAAAAGCGTCGCCCGAAGACCACCTGTCGTCTGCTAACATTAGTTAAAGGAAGAATCTTCTCACGCGAATAAAATGTCATTTGTTACTATAGTAACCATTAAAAGTGAGGGTTAAATATTTTTATGAGTTAAGACTCAATTATGACTTTTTAAAAGAAGCGAATGGAGGGGGTAACTCGAGTCATACATTCTTTTTTATATATTAAACTTAAAGTAGGTCTATTTTATCTGAACGGAGCGCATCACGGATTGACTGTATAGCCAGCAAGTGGGGTTTACATCCATTCAGCAAACATGTTATTTTGGGACTAACATATTGCAATGACGGGTCCTTATTTTTCGAGATGGGGGAGGTTAAATTTCAAACATTCTCCATGAATGTCATCGATATGAGACATAAGAGAATTAATTAGATTTTGTGGTATAGCGTTAATTAGTCGAGCTACGTATCACCATACAATATACTATAAGGAAATGGCTAATGAAGACGGGCATGCGCCATACACTGGCTATGAGGGAAATTTTGCCCGGACAGCGGCGCCACGACCTACTTATATCGAATTCCAACTGCCAAGGTATCTTTTACGTGTATGCCAATGTGTACACGGGATCTAGGTTTTTCACTCCATCCAAACTACTATACACATTCCCTTGCCAGGCCCTCTGTCCTGCATCACTGACAAGGGGAACCACGCCGGAAAATCCCGATGACCTATCTCGGCCAGCAACGGGATCGAACACGGGATCTCCAGGTTAGAGAGCCAACGTCTTACCCACTGATCCACCGTGGCTCCCTATATCCAATGATCTACTTGTCTGATTGAGTCCCGACAGTAGGATTCTAAATCTAAGTAGGGAAATTTGTTCAGTCCAGATACCCAACTATGACCACGCAAATTGGTTGGAATACTATTTTAGTCTTACTTATTCCAGTTTGTTGAAATAAACTTGCGCATGTGTATGGAGGTAGTTGTGCTTAAATGGGAGTATGTAGAGATTTATGGATATAACGTAACCGCATATTCCCGAAGCAATGGCAACAGCCCATTGACCATTGGTCAGATAGCCGTAATGGTTGATTGTTTCCATTGATCTTTTGAGCTCGCGTGCCAACCAGTGGCGGCGCCAAGGGGGGGGGGGGCGGGCATTTGTCCCCCCATAAATCTGGTCTGCCCTATGTTTGCCCCCCCCCCCCAATAGTTTTAGGAAATATAGAAAAAGTATTTGTGATGCGTTTCGGTAATCAGTACCTTCTACCATAGGCGTACGGGTTCGATGACAGTTAGGGGGGCATAACCCGCAAACACGTTTTCCTGCTATTTCAGCCCGTGAACAAAGCAACTTCAAAGTGGTCTAATATAGGCTAATTAAGATGGCTGACTCGAATTCCAATCAAAAGATCAATCGTTTACAGTCCACGGAGACGGGACCGTTGGGAGAAAATTTTGAAAATTTAACTGTCGCAAATGCGTTTTCCGGCTATTCCAGCCTGTGTATACAGCAACTTAATTTGGTCCAATATAGCCTGCCTGGCTGACCCGAATTCCAAACAACCAACCAATCGTCGCGGGTATGGGGTATGGGGGTCTCACTCTCCCGGAGAAATTTTTAAAAAAAAAATTTAACCACCGCAAATGCGTTTTCTGCTATTCTAGCCCGTGTAAGCAACTTCAAAAGTATCCAATGGTTTTGTAACCGAAATCCCATCCTGAATTCCAACCATCCAATCAGACTGTTGCAGCTGCATTCACAAATAATAATCGATGCCCGAAAAATGTCGCACAAAGTAGAGTGGCTTCAGACAAAATGTTTTAATCCATAGTCAACTCAGTACAAATTCGTGGTATTCAATTAAAATAAAAGTAAAATTAGTGTTTATTAGGGCTCGATGACAGTTAGGGGAGCAAAACTAAAAATGCCCGAAAAAATTTCAGGTTTACAGACAGCGGCGCCGGCTTTCTTCGAGAGGCGAAGAAGCGGCGCTGACCTTGTATGGACCCCCAAAGAAAATTTTGGAATATTTGACGGCCGCAAACGCGTTTTACTGCTATTCCAGTCCGTAAAATTAGTGTTTTATTAGATTTCGGGCACTTTATTTTGCCAAGTAGATGAAATAATTTTTTTTTTTTCACTTTACCCGTCTGCCCGAAATGTCAGCTTGCCCGAAAGTTAGGGGGGGGGGGGGCAGCTGCCCCCCAGCCCCCCTAGCTCGTACGCCTATGCCTTCTACGGTGATTAAATCCCACATCCCCACTCAGTCATGTTGTAGAGTCTGCTGAGTGATTTCTTACCAAGCCCATCCTGCTGTAAACATACTGTTATAGTATACAGATATTACGTTCTGATCTTTAGTCATACATGTCTTATCACATCTCACCGAAAAGTCCTTTTTCCTGCACAGTTCATTCACATTATAATTATTAAACATTTAATGGTTTTCAAGATCTCTTATTTAACTTTTATATAGTTAGAGTCGAAACATTAATTGCGGTTTCCTGCAATGTTATGTTCAGACCAAGTTTAGATACTAAGAGGATTAAAAGTTACTTAACACTGATGATAAGGGTTGGGCCGTTTGGGTATATATGGGAGTGAGTCCCGCGTCTCTTTACTCACTCACATTGTATATACCAGCACCCGAAATGAACGTCAGTGTTCTTAAAAGTATTATTTTCCTCTAGTTTGTAGACGCTCCAGTACCACGGTCACCCCCTAACGACAAAGCCTCGTCGTATATTTAGTATTGCTGTGGGACAAGGGTTTCCAGTTGCGCATTATCGGACTAGGCTATACAATCTTCCCGATGCGCATTATTTCCAACGGATTATCAAGGTATCCTCGAGTAAGGACGATAGATACTCGGAGATAAGCAAAGAAACCCGTTTCCAATACTATAAACAATGTGAATCACTTGAGGTTCAATGCGGCTAGAATATGCATTCATTTGATATACTCACTCCGTTCGTTTGACACCTGTCTCACTCTGTTCGGATAAGCTGGTGTATTGGCGACGAACAGTATCTGGTCAGCTCTACTTATCAATATCTGAAATACTTCCAGGCTGCATTTCCGACAGTCTATTTCACAAAATATTGTTGCGAAAATATTCATTCACTTTGATTCACTCCGTTCCTCTCTGGTCGGATAAACTAGAGATTAAGCGACAGGCGGTATCTGGTAAGCTCTATTTATCTCGACGATCAGTGCCTGAAATACTGCAAGTCTGTTCATTTGACACTTTCCTCTCTTGGGTCGGATAGACTAGTGATCAGGCGACAGACGGTATCTGATCAGCTCTATTTATCGCTACAATCGGTGCCTGAATACTGTCAGACAGCATTTCCGACAGTCTTTTTTTCAAAATTTTCTTGGGGAGGTCACCAAGGGGCTCGCTACTTTGGCGCTCACGAGGGTACTTCGTTGAGGTTCACAAGTCCGTTCGTTTGACACTTTGTTCTCTGGTCGGATAAACTAGTGATCAGGCGACGGACGGTATATGGTCAGATCTATTTATCTCGACGATCGGTGCCTGACTGGGTACTGTCAAACAGCATTTTCGGCAGCCTATTTTTCAAAATTTTCTGTGGGAGGCCAACCATACCCTCCGTAAGTTCTCCCTATTTTGGTGCTTGTGAGTGGGCTTCGTCGAGGTTCGCAAGTCCGTTCGTTTGACACTTTATCTCAACGATCAGTGCCTGAAATACTGCAAGACTGCATTTCCGGCAGCCTGTTTTTCAAATATTTCTGGGAGGTGACCCCCCACCCCCTTTGCCTCTAGAAAATTTTGAAATTTGTCAATTCCGAGGACACTGTTTAGAGCGCCTCTAGCATTTCAAATTCCAAAATAAAACCCCTTAAAATACATGATAATGAAAGAGACAAAAGCCTGATTATTCACGATTTTCGTATTATGTGCAATTCATCTCATAAAAGATTTAAAAATGAATAGACCAGTAAAAGGGTTGAAAACTTTCATCATTAGAGCATGCGTATACATGTATACCCCAGAAAAGGGCAGGGTACCATTTGTAAACCCTGGTACCCGGGTTCCGGCGCCCCTGTATAGATTTGTATTTTAATCAGATATTTGTATTTATTAATCAATATATCAATTACATTTTTTTAGAATCAACTTTCATATTTTTATTATTTATATTATTTATATTATTTATTATCAATCATCATTTTTATGTATTCATTTAAAGGGACAATAACACTCTTGCTGGCTTGACAGCTCCAAAAAATAAAAAAAATAGCCTTATTCTAAGTACTAAATGTCTTAGTGTCTTATCTGTTGTGTAAATTATCCATTAAATCCAAGTCACATTTGAAAAGCTTTACGTCAGGCTTTTCAAATCATTTAGTTGAATTTTTCCAATTTTTTAAGTTAGGTGTGTTAAGATGAAATTTGTATCATCAATTAATTGGAATATTGTAAAATAGTACAATTTGTTTACCAGAATAAAGATTGGGACATATTATTCAGTTACAACAAGAGTGGTATTGAGCCTTTAACATTAATTATAATGTTTATTTAAGGTTCAAAAACATAAAACACTGAACAGTTGAAAGTGATATATATATCAGTTGAATATTTCCTTAGAACATGATTTCAGAGAAACAAGAAGGTGGTCAATTGGCGTAAGTTGTTCTTCGATACCAATTCTCATGACGTTGTTCCATCATCTCACGTGCCTGCTCCACCATCTCACGAGGGTGTTCATTAGCATTAGGCCGTAGCCATCCACTTCTTTTCACACGGTGAAAGGTTTTGGCCTGTTTACTGTCAATAAGAGGAGACTCTGAAAAGAGATAATATAATGATTAATAATCCATGTGTATCAGAGGCTAAGTGAGAGGGACGCAATGTCGAGCTTTCCATCATGGTTTTGAGTTTTTGCGCCCCCTTGAGTTTTTCTGCCCCCTCGCAAATGACAATGGTTTCAATGCGGTTTCATTACGCATCTATCGTAGCAATGATCTCTGTGTTAAAATTGTACTCGCACTTTAAATGCGTAACAAAACATGTTAAAATATCTCACCTTTGTCGTGGTCTGCAGAAGATAATCCAAGAATTAAAAATCCTGTAAATATAAAACAATATTAAAGAAACCGTTTAGACTGAGTGACATAATCTATCTTCTATCTATCTATACTAATATTTGTGACTGTCGTTTGTCTGTCTGTTTGTCTGTCTGTCTGTTCGGGGTTGGCGGCTACACTAGGTCTGCCCCGAGTCTGAAATTTGGGGTATAGAGGTAGCTCGAACCGGGGAGTAACATAGGCCAGGTGGCGTTAGTCTACCATGTCCTGGGATACCAATAAGGTCTATGTCGGATTCACTATAACATTAAAAATTACAAGAAAATCAACTGCAGCGTCAAGAACACTTGATGCCAAATCCCAGTATTACGACAACCATGGAATGAAACAACCAATGATTGAACAGTTTATAACTTCGTTGTGTTTCAAATCAAATTTTACAACAGCGGTTTACTTACCAATAAGCAGCAGAGAGATTCCTACTTTCATTTTGACAACCATCTTGAAAGTATTATATTCGATGTATCTCAATCCAGTATCTGGACCAGTATCTGGAGCTTGTATAATGTTTTACACGTATGTGTGTGTGAAATATAATGTAGTTTATTTAACGTCCAGCCCTTGTTTATATACGTCATGCAGTATACCCGGATGTTATAGCTGTATATAGCTGTTATAGTCAAATTCTGTAGTGGGATTCAGGCAGTTCGCACCGGTTCATACGAGTACGTTGTTTCAATTTCGTGAGCTCGGTAAACACGTTGTTAACAATGGCTTCTAGAAAGAGAAAGCGAGAGAGAAATGGAGTTTAACGTTCACTCGACACAAACTAGGTCATTTTGGGATTAACATATGGTTCAATTTTATTTCAATTATAATTCGTTTGCGCGTAGGTGTCTTTAGCTGTGGGAGGAAACGTGAGAACCCGGAGAAAACCCACGAGGTTGGACAGGCGACCCTTGTCCTTGTCACGTACAAGCGGGGAATCAAAACCACGCCAGTTGACTCAATGACAGACCTTGTGATCTAACGCGCACATGTTAAACCATTCGACCACCAAACGCTCATATGGCGTTTAGAAGTCGGTGGTTGGGTGGCCGAATGGTCTAACACGTCCACATTAGATCACAAGGTCTGTCATTTTATTAAGTGGCGTGGTTCCGATTAAACACTTACAGGTGACAAGGAGTAGGGCTACCTTCCCACAAGCGGGCACTCAAAATCATGAATATTTACCAAAACCTGGCAGAAAATGTTAGTTCAAACCCTCTTCGTCCATTATAGACCAAAAATAAACAAAAATGGGCATGCAAAAGAGGAGAAAAGAGACAGGGGGAGAATTGCTATAAATAGACGAACTACAGTGTGTGGTACCGAGATGGTGAAATTTAGTGGTGATCTGCCTCCAAACGGACCACCATTAATCCAACTTTTCGTCACATTTGGCCACAGATCACTAATGATTTCCCCATTGACTTTAATGTTAATTCTCGTCTCTTAGACCGTCTCTAACGTTTTCCCAAATTTTCGTGGCAAACTCTTTCCCAAAAGCATGTATGAGGTTCACCATGAAAAACTTGAGATACACAAGCTGGAAGTAGAGAGAGAAAACATGCAATTTTCGGCCCTACATTTCAACGTAACCAACCTCTCAACTCTTGTATCCTTCCGCCTAAAAATCATGTATATTCACCAAAACCTGGCCGAAAATGTATTTTCAAACCTTTTCTTCGATTCTACACCAAAACGTCAACAAAAATCGCCATGCAATAGGGGGGGGGGGAGAGAGAAAGACTAAAAATAACTTTCGCCCTACATTCGTAGGTGACGGAAATATTTGTTGAGCGGTGTCCATTTTCGTTGGTCTGAACGCTTTACACTGGTTATGAGTCTTTTACAAACATGCACACTTCATAATTCTAGAAGATAGTTGGTTATGCTCAAGCGGTAATGTATAATTCTATACTGAAACCAAATAAGTTTGGTGCCTGTAGCAGCATTCTTCAGAGAATTGTTAAATATTTCCAATTCTCATGTAAAGGGACAGTTTGAAGAAGGGTCTGCCATTCCATCTCACTTTTAGGTTGTTGATAATTTTTACTTTTCAAAGATGTTATACTTAAGGGAGCCACGGTGGCTAAGTGAGTAAGACGCTGACTCGCTAACATGTAGATCGCAGGTTCGATCCTGGCATGGTATCCCCTTGTAAGTAGTGCAGGATAGAGGGATTGACAGGGCCAGTTGTCTAGTCGTTCGGATAGGACAAAAAATCTATGTCCCGTGTATACATTGGTGTGCAGGTAAAAGATCCTTGGCAGTTGGAATTCGATATAAGAGTAGGCCGTAGCGCAGTTGTCCGGGAAAATTCCTATTAGCCCGGTTGGAGCAGAACAGTAGGACATTAAACCCCATTTCATTTTACATTATGTTTAAGAATGGATCATATATAAAACGGAATGCCTGTTTGGAAAATGAAATGGGGTTTAGCGTCCTACTTTTCGGCTCCGACTTGTCACACTTACCTTCCATTCCAACAGCTAAGGTTTCCTTTACGTGAACGTTAATATTTATACCATAGCCATTTTAACATGCTCCTACCAATTACGCGTACCGTTCAACATGCAAAAGGGCCCCACCCCTCCCAAACAGCTCCTAACCATCCCAAACAAATCAATATTACATGGTGTATACATTATATAAAACTATTATTGTAAATTACCAAAACAAAAAAAGCATTTATGTATTTATTTATTTATTCAATAAGCAATATTTATTTATTCATTCAATAAGCAATTTATTTATTTCTTTATTTAATAAGCAATTTATTTATTTCTTTATTTAATAAGCAATTTATTTATTTAATAAGAAATTATCATGTTTATTTAAGGCGCAAAAACAGAATACAGTGAACAGTTGAAATTTCATAAAGATATCACAAATGAAACCGTTTACAACTCGGTCATACTGCAGCGATTGGAAAGCAAATTCCTCAAAACTTTTGACCCTCTCTTTCTCACTAACCAGGAGGCGGTGGTGTGCCTTGCGGCGGCATCTTCCAGCCTCCAGGTGCCCTTTTTCCACGACGAAAGGTGTTGGCCTTTTCACTGCCAATAAGGGGTGACTCTGAAAGATATAATAGCATTATATAATAATCATTTATTCATAGGTATCGTGTACAAGACAGAGTATACTCATTAAGATATTATCTAGAAAGTCCGCAAAGATTAAACACTTATATTTGGTCTATTGTAGATTGTTCCTCCACATTATTGGCCAATGGCTACAAGTATTTTGAATGTGTACACAGCTAAGTCAATGTTATTGTATCTTGGTATCTATATCAGTTAAGAAGCCGAGGCGGCTCAATGAGTAAGGCATTGGCTCGCTAATCTGGAGGTTACGTGTTCGATCCCGGGGGGATTTTCCGGCGTGGTCCCGTGTACACATTGGGGTGAACGTAAAAGAGCCCTAGGTCGTAACGTCGCTGTCCGGGCAAATTATCCCTCAAAGCACAATATATGTCGTGGGTCTGTCTTCATTAGCCCAGGTGGAGCAGAACAGTAGGACGTTAAACCCCATTTGCGTGGTTTCTATTCCCAACTTATACGTCACTATGAGTAGGGTCGCCTGTCCAACCTCGTCGGTTTACTCTGGGTCCTCCGGTTTCCTCCCATTGACAAAGACCCCAACGCGCAAGCGAATTATTGGAATAAAATTGAACCATATGTTAGTCCCGAAATGACCTACTGTAGTGTGTGACGAGTGGACGTTAAACCTCTCTCTCTCTCTCTCTCTCTCTCTCTCTCTCTCTCTCTCTCATTACAACATCATACAGTGGAGTCAGATTTTTAACTCACAATTTCTCCACAGATTTTTACACCAATCAAAGGGGTTTAACTTCTTTCAGACAGTATATTTTATTACCATGGTGGCCAGGGTCGTAACTAGCTCAGAGCAAAGGGGGGGGGGGAGTGTTCTCATGGGGTACTGTAAAATTGACGGACAATGTATATCCATGGACCGTGTATAGATGGACAGGCAACGCCCACGAAGCCTTTAGAATTCTGTGCAGCGGCAAAAGAGAGACCTGACAATCGTGACTAAATTAAATTAGCTCCCCTCGCGCAAATACCTGTATTAAGTTTAAAAGCAAAGAAACAGAAATCAATTCATAATATTTTTATATTGCTACTCTTTCTTTTTTGAAACCCATACACAGATAGACTACTAACTGATGATTGGGGTGTAAATATATCAACACATCGTCTTTGTTTACTTCGGACGCGCCTATGCGATACTGGCCTAATGGTGATACGTAGCTCAGATTAAAGCAGTGTTGTTGAATATAATTAAATGAATACGTATAGAACCCTCTGTTTTGTTTATCTGCGGATCAAGTGATAGAAAAAATTTTGACATCCACATTTCCCTGCAGATTAGCTGGGATAATTTCTTAATTTGTCCCCCCGGCCCCTAGAAAATTTTGAAATTTGTCAATTCCAAGAACGCTGTTTAGAGCGCCTCTAGAATTCCAAATTTCAACATAAAACCCTTTAAAATACATGATAATGAAAGAGACAAAAGTCTGATTATTCACAATTTTCGTATCATGAGCAATTCTTCTCATAAAAAATTCTTTTTAATTTGACATTCAATACACCAATCTTCATCAAGAAAATAGAATAAGCTTTTTGAACGAGACAGTAGATTAAGAGACACGATTCTTGCAAGAACTTATACTCAGGAGCAAGTGTTGACAAGACACTATAATGAGACTATAATCGACCCAAATAATTGATGCGCTGATCAGATTTCACAATAAATTCAGATAATCTCATTAGGGCATGGGTATACATGTACACCCCAGAAAAGGGCAGGGTACCATTTGTATATCCTTGTTCCCGGGTTCCGCCCCCCCCCCCCCCTGGAACTTGTTTTCATTGGTAATATTGCTTCGTAATGCTCAGTCAGGCAAAGTTCCTATATACTTGCACTCGCATTTTATATCCGTAGCAAAATGTGGAGAAAATATCCTACCTTTGTCGTCGTTTGTGGCTGATAATCCAAGGATTAACATTCCTGTGAAGAAAAAAAAGAGATATTAAGGAAAATCACATTAAATATTTAAAATGACGTCATCGTATTCAATAACATTTACAGAAGACAATATTGGTGTCAGTCATTATTACATATGTGATAGAACTGGTTAAATACATTCCAAATATAATTTTAACACAGAGATCATTGCTACGGGAGATGTGTAACAAGCACGTGAAGAAACGGGAAGTGGCGCCAAACATTACAAACACGAGTTGTCCTTCTATATAACAGACCGAAGTAACGAGCGGTAACAGACAAACGATCGAAATTCATTTCACTGATAATTCCGTTGAAGTGAAAAGTTATTATATGGGACGGTGAGAGGTTATCCCACAATTCAAAAATAGAATTGGCTGTCACTAGATAAGGGACACGAGAAAAATAGAAAAATCCCGTGCATTCCCCCGTTTTTATTCATTCTGTTCTTAATAAAAACATGGTAATGCACGGACTTTTTCTAATTTGTTCGTTATCTTTTATCTACTGACAGCCAATTCTTTTTTTGAATTGTCAGATATCCTCTCATCGTCTCATATAACAACTTTTCATATAACAACTGTTACCGCTCGTTACTTCAGTCAGTTATATAGAAGGACAACTCGTGTTTGTCATGTTTGACGTCACTTCCCGTTTCTTCACGTGCTTGTTACACATCAACCGTAGCAATGATCTCTGTGTTAAAATTATATTTGGGATGTATTTAACGAGCTCTATCACATATCTTATAATGACTGACACCAATATTGTCCTTTAAACTTTGTAATAATAGCAGTTTACTTACCAATAAGTAGCAGAGTGATTCCTACTTTCATTTTGGCAACCATCTTGGAAGTTTTCTATTCGATGTATTTCAACAGTGGACTAGTATCTGGAACCTGTATAAAGTTTATCAACCCAGTGCTTGCTTATATTCGTGATGTTTACCAGGAAGTGCACGTTATTGTCCAATCAGAAGTTTTAAAATTTGATAGCTACCATGACTTTCCGTAATTCCACCAATTATTCCAAAAACTTCCTTATAGCTGTAGACTTTTATTTCACTTCAACGTTCAACGAGTCAACTTTCTTCAATTTAGGTCAAATTAAAGTGCTTAATTGGATTAGAGAGGGAGAGAGAGAAATGGGGTTTAACGTCCACTCGACACAACTAGGTCATTTCGGGACTAACATATGGTTTTTAATTTTATTTCAATAATTCGCTTGCGCATAGGGTCTTTAGCAGTGGGAGGACTCGGAGAAAACCCACGAGGTTGAACAGGCGACCCTACTCCTTGTCACGTACAACCGGGGATTCGAAACCACGCCAGTCGACTCAATGGATTAACCTGATGCCGCATTTAGTGACATGAAATAAAATGGGGGTTTAACGTCCTAATTTTCAGCTCCGACTGGGCTACACTCGGCAAGTGATATGTACCTACGCCTATACATTTGCGTTGCGGCACCGGTTTACTTATAAGGGAAACTTGCCCGCGTTTGGAAATAAGTTCTCAAAATTGCGTCGTTCGATGAGTGTGTAGAATTTTCAGTGCAAATTTGTCCTTGTCTAAAGAAAATCGGATAAACTTGAAAGAAAAACAGCTTCAAATTTTGAAAATTTTGTAAGATAAAACATTCTTGAAATACGTCGTCATCAATGACGTCGTTGGTCGTCATGGACAACGCCATTGTAATCCGGGAACTTGAAAGTAGTTCTAATGGCGGACTTTGTCATACAGCCGAGATTAGATGTAGGGTACTGGAATCTGTTGAGGTTTGCCGAGTGACTGGGCTATTGACGACGGGCTGACGTCATACAGCGTGCTATGGGACAGGGGCGGATATAGGAATGTTTTAAAAGAGGAGGGGAGAGGGTGCAAACGGGGTTGTTGTCGAGCGAAGCGAGGCAAAAAACAAGTTTGACCTTTCTCTTACCATTAACAGTGTTATTTGTTACATTTAAACAGTTTGTGGCATTCTTATTTCCCGCATTCCCGAAAAAGTTCAGCGACTAAGTTAACTGAAAAAATCTTTGGAATCTTTTCTTGCGATTTTACAGAGAACAAACCCATGACAAAGTAGACAAAGTAGCTCAATTTTGACTTCTTACCAATATGTGGTTAATGCTATAGCGAGACAGCGTCTTACGCACTTAGCCACCGTGACCCCACATTGTGATGCATTACAATATCTGATTACATATCTTACAAAATAACATTAATATTCAAGACGTGTGATTACATATTAATGTTGATGTAATCGTCACTATTTATTGTTACATATCACTTAACAATGCTATATTTATATTCCGCTTTCCAATAATATGTGGAAAAGAAAAAAAAAACATCGAGCGCGAGGGGACACAGACAATAAATCGTTTCCAGCACTTTGAAATCCGTTGAACTTTCTCAGCCAACGCCCCGATCAAACACGGGACCTCCAGGTTAGCGAGCCAACCTCCTACTCACCAAGCCACCACGGCTCCAATATCTACATACTAAACTTGCGCTGTCTGTCTACAGTTATCTCAGCTTCTATTTAATAAAATTGAAAAAGTTTATTTAGTCTTTGTGAAACGGAGTAGAGCCGTATTACAAAACAGTATACTAATTTTTGAGTATGGCGGTCATTTTTGAGTATGGCGGTCATTTAGAACAGAGATCTATTCTCGAAGTATGAAGTAGATGTGTGCAGAATGCCATATCTATAAAGAATATGTAGATAGTTGATAAAATCGGCGACTAATATGTCAAAGCCAGAATTTGACAGCGAGCGATAGAGTGACAGATAGGGTTCAACGTCCACTCGAAAAAAAACTAGGTCATTTCGGGACTAACACATGGTTCAATTTCATTTCATTAAGTCGTCTTTAGTAGTGCACCCCTGTTCATAATACCCAATTTATTATTGTGCTCTTTATTGAATAAGGTAGGGATAGTCTAATGGTTTAACGCCTGCTCGCGAAATGGTCTGTCATTGCGTCAACTGGTTTCGATTCCCCGGTTGTACGTCGTGACAAGGAGTATGGTCGCCAGTCCAACCTTGTGGGTTTTCTCCGGGTCCCCCGGTTTCCTCCTACTTCAAAATACAGCTTCGCGCAAGTCAAGTATTGAAATAAAATTTAACCATATGTTAGTCCCGAAATGACCTGGTTGGTGTCGAGTGGACGTTAACCCGTCTCTCTCTCTCTCTTTCTCTCACTGAATTGAACAGAGGTCACGATGTACCTTAAAGAGGAAGAAAAACTGGCCACTTAACCCTCATTGACATTACATATCTAAAGTTAGATATTACGGAAAGTAAACTAAATTTGAAAAAGGGCCAACTATTAAAATTATCTTCCTCGGTATCGTATAATACATGCACGTGCACTTTACATAAATAGAATTAAAGAAATAAATTCGGGGGGTGAAGGGGGGAGGAGGGGTGATGGCCGAATGGTTAGCGCGTTCCCGTTGTATCATAAGGTCTGTCATTGAGTCAACCCAGTTGTACGTGACAAGGAGTAGGTCGCCTGTCCAACCTCGTGGGTCCTCCCGTTTCCTCCCACTGCAAAAGACCTGTACGCGCAAGTGGATTATTGAAATAAAATTGAATCATATGTTAGTCCCGAAATGACCTGATTTGTGTCGAGTGGACGTTTAACCCCATTTTTTCTCTCTCTCCATTAAATTATCTCTCTCCATCTCTTTTCTCCACCTTTGCATGCTCATTTTTGTTGACAGGCTCTTTCTAAGTTTTACAATAATATTGCTATCCGCCATATATTATGTTTAATTTAATAATTTAATAGAAACCCCTGTCTTGTTATTTGGCATACTATTAGTGAGTTTATATCCCAATTAAATAATCTATTTTGTTGGAAATGTACCATAATACATTGTCTAATATTATTGAGGAGTATTATGTCCCTACTTAAAGATACATTATGGGAGATTAGATAAAGAGCTAGCTGTTCTCACCATACCGCACAACTAGTTAAGCTCAAAGACGAGAAGAGACTCACACCTTCCCTATTTTACAAACTTAAGCCGTCCCATCCTAGACCACCATATGCCAGAGCCACTTGCATTAAAACACAAAAGAACCCCATTAAAGCCAGACTGCTAGTATGCTCCAGAGATTCCGTATATTATAACACTGCACAGTACCTGTCAAACCTTCTTTCCCCATTAGGCAAGGAAGCTGCATCCTTTATCAAAGATTCTAAAGATTTCTGCGAAAAACTTAGAGACCTCCCTAAAGATACACTTATCCTATCGTACGATGTTATTGACCTCTTTACTAATATCGCCCGAGATGAAGCCTTAGCAGCACTACGATATAGACTCACTTCAATGGAGAACTCACTGGATACCAATCTCACCATAGAAGATATAGTCAACTTAACTAAATCCTGCATAGAATCCACTTATTTCTCTTGGGGGACGATTACTACGAACAAATTCACGGTCTACCAATGGGCAGTCCCCTATCCCCAGTTCTAAGTGAAATCTATATGACCGATTTTGAAGAGAGGGCTCTTTCCACCTCACCCATCCAACCCACAATTTGGCTCCGTAAAGTCGATGATGTCTTAGTAATTCTCCGTCAGAACGAAGACCACACCGCCTTGCTCCATTACCTCAACAACCAAAATGGCAGAATTAAATTTACAATAGAAACAGAAGAAAACCAATGCCTCCCATTCCTGGATGTACTAGTTAAGAAAACAGAAGGTGGGCTCACAACAAGTGTTTATAGAAAACCAACACATACTGACCAGTACATTAACTTCTATTCCCACCACCCACACAGTGTTAAGAAAGCAACCATAGCAACTTTAGCCCGCCGTGCTGTCAACATCTGTGACAAAGAACATCTCCAAAAAGAATTAGAACACATTGAAGAAGCCCTTACAAACCTGAACAACTACCCTCTACAATTTGTTAAAAAAACCCCATTAAAACCACCATTGACACCCCTACAGATCCGGGAAAAACCAAACCAGAAAAACCACCTATAAGAATCACCATACCGTTTCAAGGGAAGCTCACTGACCACCTCAGGAGAATCCTCATCCCAATAGGTATCCAGGTCACCTTCTCCAAGGGCCGAACACTTAAAGATATCCTGAAAGCTAATGGTAAGCTCCTCCCGAATAAACCCCCGCCCCAGAAAGAGTGTGTCTATAAAGTTGCCTGCTCTTGTCTTAGTACTTACATCGGTGAAACTAGACAACCCCTAGATAAAAGAATAAGCCAGCACAAGTCCAAGTCGTACATCACTAACTCAGCTGTTGCACAACATCTCCAGACCAACCCTGGACACAGAATTGAGTCATACGAAACCCTGGCATCTAATCTCCCAACAGAAAAGACACGGAAGATAATGGAGGCAATACAAATCAGAAGGAACAGCCCAGATCTTAATCGTGATACAGGGATATTTTTGCCCAATGCGTATGATCAACTAATTTAAATAATAGCATGGTTCCACCACTCCTTATAAACTGTACAAGTGTGCTGTGTGTTATCTTTTGACTAGTTATTGTATTTACTATCGTGCTATATTCCATGTTATAAATTGTTTTTGTTTTTACATTAAATCTATATCTCTATTGCATATCTAATTATCCTATCATAAAATTACAAGTGTTAATAGATATGTGCAATGAAATAACAGTTATATTTAATCTACCCTTCATCATGTTACATTTATCTGTTGTATATACTCCATTGCCTTAATTTATTGTCTTAATCACCTCCCATATTCGGTTAATATCGCAACTACTTAGTCAGCTTATTGATCGTTTAACATAGCGGTTTCTTTTCTTACTTTTGTATATTGTTACCAAATTGTGTCGCAACCCTTTGATCTAATTGTTTTAAGGTATGGTTTCCATTTTTGTTGTTAAGACGACATCCTCACTGGCCATGGACTATAAGTTAACTCTCTATCTGCTATTGTATATCTTAATAAGTGTTGGTGTAGGCCTTTGATCATGTTGTTGCTATGTATGGTTTCGGTTATGTTGTTGTATTTTGTCTATATATATTTGCCTCATACCTGTTTTACTGTATTAGCTTGATAACGTTGAGAGAATACTCTACGAAACGTCGCCTTAAATACACTAGTAGCTGTTTTCCATAAGTATGTGTTTTGTTGTGCCCCACTATAATAGTTACAAAACTAGATAATGTAAAGGGAATTTACTGAAAATTTCAGTCAAATTGATCTACTCTGAACCGAGATTTTAGCGATTGAATTTTCCGCCTAGTCTCGATCATCATTACTAAAGTCAGTACGATAAAAAAAACATAGTCTCGATTATCCATTTCATGATTAAATTATGAATGGAAGTGGAACAGGAAATCGGAACCTAATCCAATAAACATCACAGGCTAGCGATGCCATCGAGAGTTGATTATGGTCTGGATAAGTTAAATTAATGTCTAATTAATAATTTAGATAACATTTCTGTCTTAAAGAAAGACCTGCAATAGGCAGATTTAGCTCTTGCATAATGTATGTTTAAATAGCCGAATTTGTATATATATCATGCGATTATAATTTATATGCTTATCCTATGACTTATTTATAGATACGTTCCCAGAAAAGTATTTATCGGGTGGTTATTTCCAATAAAAGTATGGCAATTTTGGTATATATGGAAAGTAGAAATATCCAATCTTACTAGAAAAATACTGGATTCCCTGAAAAACACTCACGGACGCATACAGGACAAAAATGTAAGGGTTCCCCTAATTGACAGTCCGACGATTAGAATTGTCTGATCGCGTGACGTCAAAGGTTGCACGCGAAGATTGACCGCGTGATATACATGCTGATAAACTTTATGAAGAGTTAGACGTACAACACTTTCTGAGATAAAAAATACGGGAAAAGACGTGTGCAATGGATAATCCAAGAATTTAATTAGGCTTCGATATTTATGATAAATGGATAGCGATTAAAGACAACATCGTCTTGTGTGTGCAATGAATTCTCCTCCGACTACGCATCGGTTGCAAGGTAGTTCGTCAGCGAAGTTACGTAACACAAACATGACCTCTTTTAATAGATTTTTTTATAGCAGGGTATTCCCTCGCATAAACAGTGTTTTGATAAGGGTTTGAAGCAAAATTTTGATAGATTAATTTGAATATGTTTTAGCCCAAATACATCCTCAAATCACCCAGATTGTACACGGGAACGTATCTTTAACGTAACTAGAATATACTTCTGTATGTCAACTTAATCATAAATTACATTGTTTCCATTTGTTAAATAATGTTGAATTTATATTGTTGAAAATGTATACTTTGTTTACTTAAGGCGTGTATAGTTTATAATTTTGCATGAACTGGGAATGAATTTTCAGAATCAGTGCCATCCTGTCGAGACGGCAAGGCGAACATGTTCTCCCGCACTAGTAGCCTGGATCAGTTGTTCCCACTGGGATATCCGTCTCCAGGATCATAGCGATGTTATAGTTATTACACCTATAGTTCTTGAGAATTGATCTTTGAGCGTACAGCCTTTAGATGCTTGCATACACAGACTTTAAACAGATACAGCCTTTAGAAATGAAATGGGGTTTAACGTCTGCTCCGAACTAGGCTAATGAAGACGGGCATACACCATACAGTGTGCTATGAGGGAAATTTTGCCCGGACAGCGGCACTATGGCCTACTCTTATATCGAATTCCAACTGTAAAGGGATCTTTTACGTGCACGCCAATGTGTACATGGGACCTCGGTTTTTCGTCCCATCCGAACGACTAGACATCTGTCCTTGTTAGGTCCTCCGTACTGCATCACTGACAAGGGGAACCACGCCGGAAAATCGGGATGGACTTTCTCGGCCAATGCAGGGATCGAACACCCGACCTCCAGGCTAGCGAGCCAGCGTCTTACCGACTTAGCCACCGTGACCCCCCCCCCCCCCCCAGGCTTTAGATGCTTGCATTTAATGAAAAAACACAGGCTCTTATAACTGCTTGAAGTTAATGAACAGTATAGCTTTTAGCTATTACACAGAAACAACACAGATCACAAAACGGCTTGAACTGGGAAAGTTCTCCTCTTTTTAAATAGTGTAAAAGAGTTTTCCCAGTCCATTAAAACTTACCTGTATATATGTTTACAGGCGCGGATCCACTGTTCTGCTCCAAACTGGGCTAATGAAGACGGGCATACGTCATACAGTGTGCAATGAGGGAAAATCTGCCCGGACAGCGGCACTACGGCCTACACTTATATCGAATTCCAATTGTCAATGGATCTTGTCAGGTCCTCCGTCCTGCATCACTGACAAGGGGGAACCACGCCAATGCTGGAATCGAACACCCAACCTCCAGGCTAGCGAGCCAGCGTCTTACCCACTTAGCCACCTTGACTCCTACATGGCTGATAGAATCTACATTATATAAAACTAGTATTCTACATTAATAACACAATAAAATCACATTTATTTATTCAATAAGCAATTTATTTATTTATTTATTTATTTAATATAAATTATCATGTTTATTTAAGGCCCAAAAACAGAAAACACTGAACAGTTAAAAGTTCATAAAGATAGCACAAAGGAAACCGTTCACCACTCCGTCCTACTGCAGCGATCAGAAAGCGAATTCCTCAAAAGTTTTCATCGTCTCTTTCTCACCGTCTCTTTCTCACCCATACAGGTCCCGGGTCCGGGGATGGTGGTCTGCAATCACATTGCCACCCACCTCTTTTTACACGACGTAAGACTTTAGTCTTTTCATTGCCAATAAGGGGTGGCTCTGAAAGATGTAATATCATTATATAATAACATTATAAATAATTAAGTACACTCTATCATTTAGCCTCGATCTAACTGACGTATTCTCATCAGGATGCGCCATATTTGAATTAATTGATAAGTGAAATCCTATTTAAATCCGAGCTGTAGCCTAGCCATCCGTGGTTCTACAGAGTTGATTTTGGGCTTGTTGTTTAAATAAAGATCTAATTTATAATTTCTATAACATCTGAAGCCTAAATTAAGATTTGCGATAATCAGATTTTGCTCTTGCATAATGTATTTTTAAGACAGTATATTGTATTACCATGGTGATACGTAGCTCAGATTAACGCAATGTTATTCAGTATAAAAAATGAACACGGATACGGATACGGATCGAACCTTTCTGTTTGGTTTATCTGTGGATCAAATTATGCAAAATAGTTTGACATACACATTTCCTTGCAAATTAGCTGGGACGATCCTGGTAAATTTCCACTTTATTTATTTAATGCGCAATTATAGCAAAATGTGGAGAAAATATCCTACCTTTGTAGTCGTCTGTGGCTGATAATCCAAGGATTAACATTCCTGTGAGAAAAAAAAGAGAAATTAAGAAAAATCAGAATATTTAAAATGACGTCATCGTATTCAATAATATTTTAGAGGTTAGTGACAAGTGAAATGGGAATTCCCCTTTGACGTCACATGACCTATTGTGTTTAGTATGTCATCATACTGACACATAATTAAGATGAGGGAGTCGCAATGGCTCAATGAGAAAGACGTTGGCTCGCTAACCTGGAGAACCCCCGCCCCCTCTTGTCAGTAAAGCTGCTCAGACTTGGCTAATAACGACAGGCATAGTCCTACGCCTGGCAAGAGACAAGGTATAGTTGTTCGGATGGAGCGAAAAACCGAGGCCCCGTGTTCACATTGGCGTGAATGTAAAAGATCCACTGGCAGTTGAAATTCGATATAAGAGTAGGCCGTAGCGCTGCTGTCCGGACAAAATTTCCCAGTGTGGCAGAATGACAAGAAATTGTGGATGGACGGATGGATTATATTTGTAAACATTCCAAATCGGTTAAATTTAGTGAATATACAAGAGACTGTATCATCTAGAATACCTGCTAAAACTTCTTTAAACTACAAACATGGAACAATATAACCATTATAATTAAAGTAGCTAAGTCTCTAACTCAATATCATGAAAAATCTTCGACATTCAAAACACAAATTATTCGTCAATTTGAATCAACATTGGTCATGTGATCTTACAGGGAAAAGATGGGCTTCTGATATCCAATATTCAAGACAAAATAAACAGTTTGTCTTTGGTACACGAACAGTGTACCATAATGCGTTTCAGTGCCATTTGGAACAAGGGACGCAAAGAACGAGGCTAGACATATTCCACAAGTCATGTCAAATGGTGACGCTATATTCTTATCTGGAGAGCATGCACAATAAATACCATCGGTTTAGACTGGAATAACCAGACGCTAAAGATTGTCTTCAATTGAGACTTCTGGCGTATTTCACCGAACTCAACTGATTAGAAATTACAGTAAAAACAGAAACGATTGAATGCAAATCAGTTTATATACATTCATATTACATTATTATATGCTTTGCGACCCATTTGTGTCAATTTCTAGATCCCAAATATTAGCGATTTAGCTCCTTTAAACTTTACAACAATTGCAGAGTTTACTTACAAATAAGCAGCAGAGAGATTCCTACTTTCATTTTGGCAACCATCTTGAAAGTTTTCTATTCGATGTATTTCAACAGTGGACCAGTATCTGGAGCTTGTATAAACTTTACCCACCCAGCTCTTGCTTATATTCATGATGTCTACCAGGACGTACACGTTATCGACCAATCAGAATTTTTAAAATGGTTATCCGTAATTCTACCAATTATTCCAAAAACTTCCTTATACTTTTAGACTTATATTTCACTTAAAGTGTTGAACTAGATAAACCTGATCCGGTATTAACTAACATGAAATAAAATGGGGTTTAACGTCCTACTTTTCTGCTAACGAAGACGGACATACGTCATACAGCGTGCTGTGGGACAGGGACGAATACAGGAATGTTTCAAGGGGAGGGTTCCGACGGGGTTTGACCTTTCACTTACCATATTTCCCAGAATAAACCCACGGCACGCGAACTAAACAGTGAAAGTTGTTACAATTAAACAGTTTGTGGTATTCTTGTAATTTGTTACTTTAAACAGTTTGTTACATTCTTATAATATGGACTTTACCACCAGAACATCAAAGATAGGGAAGTTCAAATGTGGATTTTAACAAGTCGCACCCCTTGATCGAGTTACCATAATCTGCATCGTGCAAGCAGGTTCGGTTTTTGGCACATTTGACCAATTTCCCCAAATTGGGCCCCACACTAGAAAGGGGACCCCACATTTCCAGGCAATCCGGCAACAGGGCTGCCAGGAGTGGCTATTTTCAGGTATTTATCAATTACTAATTGTAAAGTAAAGCATAGCTGGCCTTAAATATGAACGAATATAGGCCTAGTTAAAGTAATTCATATCCTGCAATGGATTCATATCCCCTTGTAACTTCTGGCCTCCCAAATTGGCCTTGTATTTTATACACCCAGTCCTGCGTGAACGACATCCATTAGTTTTAGTAGCGTTTAGGCCAAAACTGGCCATAGATATTAAGAAACCATAGCAACGCTGATGTATAAAATGATATTAAATGATATTGGTCAGTGTTTATGTGGAGACCTAGCCTCTCCCCCAAAATCTTAAATCAAACGAATAAAGTATTTTAGTGAAGTTTGAACATGACTGGGTTATTTTTATACGCCCACATTGAAAGGTCAGGAGCGAAGACGCGATTTCCGATAATTACTGCAAGAGTTATAGCCCTTGATCACTTTGAAAATTTCTGTGGATGTTCTAGAGGCTAAAGTTAATATAAATTGTTCAAGGTTATGAGACAAACAATCGAAAAAAATTCTAATTATTTCAGATAATTACTTAATGGGTTATTACTCGTAATAAGATTTTCATGTATTGTAAACATTCTCCTTATAGACAAAAGAAAACTCTTGTAACTGCCTGGACGACTTAGCTGTTGTGGTCCTATGTTTTGTTGCCTGGCAACCTATCTTTAGCTATTTTATTACACAAAAGGGTTCGATCTAACCTAAAGCTCCTAGAATCCATTTAACCACGGTGGGGGTTTAGGTGGCATTCTCGACAAAAAGTTGATTCTGAAACCATTGTCTTCCAGCTTTTTTTCTAATTGTAGAACGTTTTCCTTGTCTACTAAGATGGTGTAACGTTTGCGCTTTAGATCATAGGGTCTGCATTGATCACGTGATGTGGTTTCGATTTCCTGTTTGTACGTGACAAGGAGAAGTGTCGCTGGCCAAAGTCTTGTTTTTTTCCCGGATCCTCCGGTTTCCCCTCCCATAGCTAACGACCCCTACGCGCAAGCGAATTATTTAAATAAAATTGAACATATGTTAGTCCCGAAATAATCAAGTTTGTGTTGAGTGGGCGTTACCCCCCCCCCTCTCTCTCTCTCACTGAATTGAACAGGAAGAAAAACTGGCCACTTAACCCTCATTGACATTACATATCTAAAGTTAGATATTACGGAAAGTAAACTAAATTTGATAAAGGGCAAACTTCCAGATATTAAAATTATCTTCCTGATTATCGTATATAATCAGTATATTGATATATTGAGTTCACATACACAATACTTAAATGGAGGCAGACCACCACTAATTTTCATCGATTTGTAGTTCGTCTATTTATAGTTCTCTCTCATTCTCTTTTCTACCGTTTTGCATGCCAATTTTTGTTGATTTTTTGGTCTAGAATGGACGACGAAGAGAGATTGAATTAACATTTTCTGTCAGTTTGTGGTAAATTCATGATTTATAGGAGGACAGAAAACTGAAGGTAGGGACAAGCTGAAGCAACAACAAGTGTCACAACTTGGAAAATGTGAAGTCTCACAGAGATACCTGAATGTATACAATACAACCATCAAGACTTCAATTTTTGAAAACTATCTTTGTTTTAGCACAACACGTCCATATAATCAAACTTTTTCTTTTCAAATATTCTCCGTGTTTTTCAAGGGACTACCTAATAATATGTATGGGTGAAGGCAAATCAACAACATACGGTAGATAGGAAGTATGTTATTGGATTTAAAGACACAATCTCGGTACTGTCTGTTCAGTTTGCTTCTATTTTTATGTTTGGAATCTGTGATCAATACACTGTGGATGTTTTATTATAGAAATATTTCATCTTTCTGTATGTGCTTCATCATTTTGTTTCAGGATTGTATTGAAAATAAAAATTGCTTAAAGATGATAAGGTAGAAAGTAGTAAACCTATACCATACAGTGTGCTATGAGGGAAATTTGCCCGGACAGCGGCGCTACGGCCTACTCTTATATTGATTTCCAACTGCCAAGGGATCTTTTACGTGCACGCCAATGTGTACACGTGACCTCGGTTATTCGTGTCACCCGAACAACTATACGTTGTTCCTCTTCGGGCCCTCCGTCGAGCACTGCAGGACCTCCAAAATTTCAAGATGAAGGCACAGGTGACTAAAATTTCTGAGAGGCCCAGGATATCTAAAAAGAAATGAAATGTTCTGCACTGACGGGCTAATAAAGACGGGCATACCCCATACATTGTGCTGTGAGGGAATTTTGTCAGGAGAGCGGCCCTACGCCTACTCACATCGAATTCCAACTGCCAAGGGCTAGTTTTCGTGCAAGTCAGTGTCTACAATGTGTACACGGGACCTCGGTTTTTCGTGTCACCCGAACAACTATACGTTGCTCCTCTTCGGGCCCTCCGTCCTCCACCACTGGCCCGGTGGAAACCCGTCGAACACTACAGGACCTTCAGTATTTCAAGATGAAGGCACAGGTGATTAAAATTTCTGAGAGACCCAGAATATATAAAAAGAAATGAAATGTTCTGCACTGACAGGCATACCCCATACATTGTGCTGTGAGGGAATTTTGCCAGGAGACCGGCCCTACGCCTACTCACATCGAATTCCAACTGCCAAGGGTTATTTTTCGTGCAAGTCAGCGCGTACAATGTGTACACAGGCCTACACCACTGCCAAGGGGAACAACGCCGATGAACTTTCACAGCCAACGCCCGGAAATGAAATAAATTTGATTTAACGTCCTGCTGTTCTGAAACCTACATGGACTACTGAATATGGGCATACGCAATGCAATGTGTTATGAGTGGTATCTTGTCCAGCCATCGGCGCTACGGCCTATCCGCAAGGCTTCCTTTACTTGCATGCTTTCGTGCTGTTCGTCCCATCCGAACGACTAGACACCATTCCTTGCCAGTCCCTCCTTCCTACACAGCAGTCTTTTACTATATAGTCGGTAAAATAAGATATTTAACCACGAGCATGCCAATGTAGGCGTGTAATAATCATATTGTTTTCACTTTATGATGTTATCTTTAACATTCTTCAAATCAAACTGCCTACAGACAGCTTTTCGAGAACTGACCCAAGTATGTTCTTTATCAGGCACCAATTTCAACTTTCTACCCAGAAGGTGCTGGTGTTGGCTGAGAAATAACCTCGGTGTTTTCAAGCGGGGTTTCACATTGTAAGTGGTACAGGACGCGGGAGGTGGAGGGGGTTGGAAGGAACAGTTTTTAGTATTACGAATTTAATGAGATTTTCCGATTTGGTTCACTCTTGCCAGTGGTGCAGGAAGGGGGTCCTGGCAAGGCCGGACGACGTATAGTCGTTCGGATAGGACGAAAAATCTATATCTCAGTTAGTTATATCTAGGGGAGATAATGTCTCTATAACTTTTATATAGGTTGTAGACCACCATTACTTTCCACATTGATTTTAATTTTGTCTCTTTTGCAACAAAATTTGCATGAGATTGACCACCACAATTTTGAGATACACAAACATGAAGAGATTAGATCTCCACAGAAGCACTGACCAATGTCATTTTAGACACAGGCGTTCCTATTGTTTCTTAATATCTTGACTTAAACGAAACTTAACTAACGGATATCTTGCACGGCGCCGAGCATGGCAACTCGATCACGGGATACGACTTACTCAAATCCACATACTATTTGAACATCGCTATTTTTGATGTTCTGGTGGTAAAGTCCACCAGAACATCAACTATCTAGTATCTACACATTCTTTATAGATATAGGAGCCGCGGTGGCTCGGTAAGTAAGGCGCTGGCTCGCTAACCTGGAAGTCTCGTGTTTGATCCGGGCGTTGGCTGAAAAAAGTTCCAGAGTGATTCCCCCTTGTCAGTGGTGTAGACCTGTATACACATTATACACACTGACTTGCGTGTAAAATAGCCCCTGGCAGTTGGAATTTGATATAAGAGTAGGCCGTAGCGCTGTTGTCCGAGCATAATCCCCTCATAGCACACTGCATGGTGTATTTCCGTCTTCATTTGCCCAGTTCGGAGCAGAACAGTAGGACGTTAAACCCCATTTCATTTCATTTATTTTTAGATATCCTTTAAATGTAACAAATTGAACTTTTTAGTTCACACTTCTTGGGTTTATTCTGGGAAAATGGTAAGAGAAAGGTTCGTTTGGACCCACCTCCATCCAACCCACTTTGAAACGTTCCTGTATCAACCCCACTGCTCTATAGCACACTGTATGACGTCAGCCCGTCTTCATTAGCCCAGTGGGAACAGAAAAGTAGGACGTTAAACCCTATTTTATTTCATGTCAGGTTAATCCAGTTCAACACTTTAAGTGAAATAAAAGTCTAAAGGTATAAGGAAGTTTTTGGAATAATTGGTGGAATTACGGATAACCATTTTTAAAATTCTGATTGGTCGATGACATGTACGTCCTGGTAGACATCATGAGTATAAGCAAGAGCTGGGTGGGTAAAGTTTATACAAGCTCCAGATACTGGTCCACTGTTGAGATACATCGAATAGAAAACTTTCAAGATGGTTGCCAAAATGAAAGTAGGAATCACTCTGCTGCTTATTGGTAAGTAAACTCTGCTATTATTGTAAAGTTTAATTGTAATGGTTATATCATTCCATGTTTGTAGTTTAAAGAAGTTTTATCGGGTGTTCTTAATGATACAGTCTCCTGTATATTCAATAAAATTAACCGATTTAGAATGTTTACAAATATTGTCCATCCGTCCGCCCGTCAGTCCACAATTTCTGGTCAGTCTGATAGACTTGGAAATTTTGACCGGATATTGAATTTCAACCGCCAAGGGATCCTTTATATACACGCCAATGTATAAACGGGACTTCGGTTTCTTCGTCCAATCCGAAGTTGTCCATTGCCGGGCCCTCTATCTTGCATCACTGACAATGTGGGTTACAAACCGGAAAGTTGTCCATTGCCGGGCCCTCTATCTTGCATCACTGACAATGTGGGTTACAAACCGGAAAATCGCGATGAACTTTTTCAGCCATAACGCAGGAATCGAACGCGAGTCCTCCAGGTTAGCGAGTCAATGTCTTACTCACTGAGCCATTGTGGCCCGCTCATCTTAATTTATTATGTGTCAGTATGATGACATAATAACCTCAATTAAATCATGTGACGTCAAAGGGGAATTCCCATTTCACTTGTCACTAACCACTATAATGTCATTGAATACGATGACGTCATTTTAAATATTTATTTGGGGTTTTTTTTCACAGGAATGTTAATCCTTGGATTATCAGCCACAGACGACGACAAAGGTAGGATATTTTCTCCACCTTTTGCTATAATTGCGCTATAAATAAATAAAGTGCTCCTCAGAAAAAAAAAAAATCGAAGGGGTCGATCCGTATTAACTCTTTACACGAAGTGGTTTATTCCGGAAAAGTTATATCAGAAAAGAAAGAACCTCGAGGGGACACTGTCAAATAAATTGTTTCTAGCTCTTTGAATCTAGATAAATATAAATATACTTGTACATTTTTATATAATAAAAGACATATTGATTGTGCCTTTTGAAATTTTATACCATTTTATATAACACAAATATACTGACAAATCAGTAATAAGTTAATTGCATATGCATATGTCCCAGCAGGTTAAGCAAAGTTCGTATTTTGTAAATAATTATCTAGAAAGATTATACTCTGCCTTGTACATGATACCCATGAATTATTTATAATAATATTATATAATGATATATCTTTCAGAGTCACCCTTTATTGACGGTGATAGGGCCAATGCCTTTCGTCGTGTAAAAAGGGCTGCATCGCCTTGGATAGAAGTGCCGGAGCCATGGCAGCCAAATGAGCCCCCGAAGCCGTGGATATAGCACCGAAGACAGTGAGAAAGGGAGGGTGAAAAGTTTTGAGGAATTCGCTTTCTCATTGCTGAAGTAGGACCGAGTTGTAAACGGTTTCGTTTGTGCTACCTATATGAACTTTCAACTGTTTTCTGTTTTTTTGCGCCTTAAATAAACATGATAATTGATATTAAATACATAAATTGCTTATTGAATAAATGAATAAAATGCTTATTGAATAAAAAAATAAATGGCTTATTGAATAAATAAATAAAATGCTTTTATTGTTTTGGTAATTTACAATAACAGGTTTATATAATGTAAATACCATGTAATTTTGATTTGTTTGTGATGGGTAGGGGCTGTTTTGCAAGAAGGGTGTGGATTGGGGCTTTCTTGAATGTTTTGCTTTTCGGAGTTTTAAGGTATTGGGCGGTTTGGGCACGTTAAAATGACTATTATATACATTTTATACGTAACCATAGAAATGAAAACTATATCAGTCTCAAAATGACTATTGACCTATTTCTTCTGTAAGCTTTTGGTGTACACGTAGTTCCCAAATATCGAGTAAAACTACTTTAATGATCCTTTAAAATCAAACAATTCAGTTCATATCTTAAGTGATAGAGAATAATACTTTAATGATCCTTTAAAATCAAACAATTCAGTTCATATCTTAAGTGATAGAGAATAATATCCCGTGGAAGTACAATTAACCCAAGAACGAATCCGCGTGAAGACCATGCACAAATCAATCTGATCAAATACAGATCAATATTTTATTTCGTTTTTTTATGGGGGACTTTTGCCCGGACTGCGGCGCTACGACCTACTCTTATTTCGAACTCCAGCTGCCAAGGGATCTTGTACGTGTACACCAATGTGTACACGGGACCTCGTTGTTTCGTCACATTCGAACGACTACACGTTGTCTCTTGCCAGGCCCTCGGTACTGCACCACTGACCAGGAGGAAACACTTAGGAAAATCCCAATGAAATTTCTCAGCCAGCACCGGAAGCAATCACGGGACCTCCAGGTTAGCGAGCCAAAATCTTAATCACTGAGCTCTCAAAGTTAATCCCCAAAGTGCATAGAAATAGATGGCTACATTAAACCAATGCAAATTTATGTAAAGAACATATTTCTTTCGCATATAAAGTAATTTTGACTGCGATATTAGTCTGGGTAGAAGCGGACGTTTAGTCCGATATCAAGTCGAGTGTATAATATTAACGGTGGAGAGTGGATATTTACATTATACACATAAACGACAAACCCAGACGGGCAGTTGTTTAACAGTAGTTAAATTTTAACTTACCAAATGACCAGTCCACGGTCCGCCGTCTTTCAATCGTACTTAAAAGCCCCCCCCCCATCCCTCCACCCACACCCCTCCACCCACACCCCACCCAACAACACTGCTCCGACAGTCCAGATTAGTTGGCTAAACGTAGTATTACGTGTCATCCTCGTGAGTTTTCTCCGGATCCTCCGGTTTCTTTCCCTACGCGCAAGCGACGTAATGAAATGAATTGAACCATCTGTTTGTCATTTAATCTCGGTGGCCTAAAGGTCGGCGGCCAATATGTCAACGCCAGAATCTGACAGAGAGTGATAAAGTGACAGTTAGGGTTTAACGTCCACTCGACAAAAACTAGGTCATTTTGGGACTAACACATAGTTCAATTTCATTTCATTACGTCGTGTTTAGTAGGGGGGTTGGATGGATGAATGGTTAGCACGTGCGCGCTGTATCATAAAGTCTGGCATTGAGTAAACTGGCGGGGTTTCGATTCCCCGGTTGTACGTGACAAGGAGAAGGGTCGCCTGTCCAACCTCGTGGGTTTTCTCCGGGTCCTCCAGTTTCCCCCCACTGCGAAAGACTCCTACGCGCAAGCGAATTGTGGAAATAAAAAAAATGAACAATATGTTAGTCCCGAAATGACCTAGTTTGTGTCGAGTGGACGTTAAACCCCATTTTTCTCTCTCTCTCTCTCTGACCCGGTTTTCTCCGGTTTCCTCCCACTGCTAAAGACCCCTACGCGCAAGCGAATTATGGAAATAAAATTGAACCATATGTAAGTCCCGAAATGACCTAGTTTGTGTCGAGTGGACGTTAAACCCCATTTCTCTCTCTCTCTCTCTCTCTCTCTCTCTCTCTCTCTCGTCTTTAGTAGTGCGCCCCTGTTCATAATACCAAATTTATTATTGTGCTCTTTATTGAATAAGGTAGGGGGTGGTCTTGAAATAGTCTGTCATTGTGTCGAATCGCGTGGTTTCGATTCCTCGGTTGTACGTGACAAGGGGTAGGGTCGCCTGTCCAACCTCGTGGGTTTTCTCCGCCCCCCCCCCCCGGTTTCCTCCAACTTCAAAAGTCAAGTATTGAAATAAAATTTAACCATATGTTACTCTAGTTGGTATCGAGTGGACGTTAACCCGCCTCTCTCTACCTCGCTCTCTCTCCCTCTCTCTCTTGAAAATAACAAGGTCGTTTCTTACACAAGAAGTATTTTCCTTTGTCCGGTTTCCCCCCACCGCTAAAGACCCCTACGCACAAGCAAAATATTGAAATAAAATTGAATCATGTTAGTCCCGAAACGACCTGGTTTGTTTCTAATTGTATCGAGTGGACGTTAAACCACATTTCCCCCCCCCCCCTCTCTCTCTCTGCATATTTTACCCTCCTTTCTTCCAGGGAGACGGTAGTGAAAATGGATTTATCTCCCTTGCCACAGATCACATTAGATTTTTGCCATGACTGCAATGTAACTTCTCGTCTCTTTAATTCTCCCGTCAAAGGGCAAAACCTAGTAACTCACTTTTTTATATCAAAATTGAGTTAGGACCAAATTTGTAGTTACTAGGGCATGTGCTTCCCGTTGTTGTACTAGATATTCCAATCTTTTGATTTTGTAAGCAGTGAAACCCATGACACAACCTAGCATCTTCCTTCATTTGCCTAGTATACCACAGCAAAAACTAGTAACTCAATAGTCAAATCAATGGATGAGCTGGGGTTTAATATTCATTCATTACGTTTTCCTTTGTTTTCTCAAAATAAGAAAAAGGTGAGTTACTAGGTTTTGCCTTTTGACGGGAGACGTGACTATAACTTTTACCATGGACTCTATTCCCAAAAATTGAACAGGGCTAAGGTCTGGCAACATCTTGCTCAAATCAAGTAAGGGGCACTGACTTATGAAAAAAGCCCCCAGAAAATTTTAAAAAATAGATTCGATTTGGTACATATACTGACGTCAAGCTGATTAAAATACAGATCGATATTTCGATTCGTTTTTTTTATACTGATGTATATTCTGGGCGAGTAACACCAGTTAAACAAACTGATTAAAACACAGATCCTATTTCGTTTCGTTTTTTATAGGTCAAAATTTCGTTTTACTTGTCTTTACTACACTAGGATCTGGAACAGTTGTTATATTACCGGCGCTTTGGTTGAAGTGAGGGATCAGCCAATAAAACGGTCTGTTACGGGTAAATCACTAGAACGGTCAGCGCTAATTGATTAATCAATGCATGACGTCGTTGGGTCAAAAGCCTTTATTGCGACCTCTGACGCGACCTTTCAGTACAACTTATCAGATCTTCATGTAGTGTAGGCCATCGAAAGTATATAAAAAACCGAAACGAAATATAGATCTGTATTTTGATCAGGTTGACGAGTTAAATAAAATAGAGATATTGAACATTTGTATTGTATTAAAATATTATATTTAAAGATACATTCCCGGGTACAAACTAAGTGATTTGATGATATATTTTGATTAAAAACATATTCAAACTAATTAATTTATCATAATTTTGCTTCAAATCCTTCTCAAAACATTGCAATTGTCGGGAAATACCATAGCTATAAAAAATCGATCAAAAGAGGTCATGTTTGTGTCACGTGACTAACCTCTCTCAGTACCTAGGAACGCAAGCGAAGTCGGAGGAGAATTCATTGCATACACAAGACGATGTTGTCTTTAATCGCTGACTATTTATTACAAATATCGAAGCCTAATTAAATGTTCGGATTATCCACTGCCCGCGTCTTTTTCCATGATTTTTATCTCAGAAAGTGTTGTACGTCTAATTCTTCATAAAGTTTATCAAAATGTACATCAAGCGTGCAATCTCCACGTGCAACCTTTGACGTCACGCGTGCAGACACTCCTAATCGTCGGGCTGTAGATTAGGGGAACCCTTACATTTTTGTCCTGTATGCGCTCTATGAGTGTTTTTCAGGGAATCCATTATTTTTCTAGTAAGATTTGATATTTCTACTTTCCATATATACAAAAATTGTCATACTTTTATTGGAAATAACCACCCGATAAATACTTTTCTGGGAACATGGCTTTATGAGTTCAATCACAGTTGTCCTACGATTCCCAGTCAATTTGTTTTTAAAGACAAACAGTCTGTAGTCATTACTGTATGAATGATCTCATATAGTATAAAATGGGCTGTGTCAAATGCAAGAGACAGGAGTTAAAATGGAGACTGTTTGAAAGAAAAACAGTTTCAGACATTCAAAGCTTTGTAGCCTATGATAAAACACCCGTTTCCCTCTCCCCCAACTCTCTCTCTCTCTCTCTCTCTCTCTCTCTCTCTCCATGTAACCTTTATTTTAACATGTTTAAGCTTTAAGAAAATTTATAGATTTTAATTGGTTTTGGCCCAGACATTGGCCTACATCAATGTAACACAAACCTCTCTGTATTCTCTTATTCTCTCTCGCCTTCGTTTCAGTTTAATTTTAGCCCAGAGATTAATTTTTAGATAATGATTTTTCCAGTCATGAATGAGTAATCCTCCGATTGTACAGTAATGAAACACGACCCGCTTTGACCAATATTCAAACCATCTTGAATGAATGAATAATGGGGTTTAAACTCACATCAACATTTTGCTTACGTCAAAATACGGTTATCTTTTAATTACAATGGTTATATGTGGTTTCGAGCACCCGCTTGTACGTGGCTATGAGTAGGGTCGCCTGTCCAGCCTCGTGAGTTTTCTCCAGGTCCTCCGGTTTCCTCCCACTGCCAAAATAAAATTGAACCATATGTTAGTCTCGAAATGACTTAGTTCGTGTCGTGTGGACGTTAAACTCTCTCTCTCTCTCTCTCTCTCCCAGAAGACTGGGATATGTTCATACCATATTCCTTACTATAATCCTACTTTTCTGCGCCGACCGGGGTATTGAAGACGCGCATGTTTAAAAAATGAAATGGGGTTTAACGCAATACTGCTCTGCACTGACTTGGATATTTCCAGGACAGCGGCACTACCAATTGCCACTGGTATTTTTCCATGCACGTGCACCTGTGCAATAGGACCCATCGGAAGTACTAAGACGTATACCCTCATAAACTGAAATGTATTCAAATAAATTGTACCTTTTAAAATTACTATTTTACTATTATGGATAAAATAGTTATAGATAGGAATTCTTATTTGTATTAGAATTATTTTAAAAGTCAGATATCTCCTGAATAAAAATAGTTATTATTTCCCGCTGTATATATATATATCATTCCAATGGGGGGGGGGGGGGCTAGTTGTGTAGAGTGTCACGCTTCCACCTCTAGCTGGCCGGTCACCTTTGGCTTGTATTGCGGTTGTGGTTTCGATCCATGGTGAGTACCCCGGTTTTCCTCCCACAGGAAATGAAAATAAGCTAAGATAATGAAAATAAAAAAAAAGACAAATTGTCTGCGATATCACCTTCGGTGGAAGCGGACGTTAAACACTAAGAACAGCAAAAATGATTCCAATAAATTGTACCTTTTAAAAGTGTTAGGGGGGGTCACGGTGGCTATATTGGTAAGACGCTGGATCGCTAGTCTGGAGGTCGGGTGTTCAATCCCTGCATTGGCCGAGAAAGTTCATCCAGATTTTTCGGCGTGTTTCCCCCTTGTCAGTGATGCAGGACAGAGGGCCTGACAAGGACAGCTGTCTAGTCGTTCGGATGGGACGAAAAACCGAGGTCCCATGTACACATTGGCGAGCACGTAAAAGATCCCTTGACAGTTGGAATTTGATATTAAGAGTAGGCCCGTCTGCATTAGCCCAATTCGGAGCAGAACAGCAGGACTTTAAATCCCATTTTATTCTTTAAAAGTATTAGGAATTCATATTAATTTTGTAATAGAATAATTAATAATTATATTGTATATACTATATATATATACCAAAATAAACTCAAATATCATTCCAATAAAATGTTACTTATCAAAAACGATATCTGTTATATCCTGGTTGAACGATTTACAGATAGGAATTCTTATTTATAAACGAATTACAGCTAGGCCTAGTTCTTAGTTAAATCTACCAATAGTCGTAAATTTAAAAAACTATCTGAAACTCTACTGTAAATATTGGAGTAATGTGATTTTAATCTGACATATATCTTCTAATGATTCCTGTTGCCTCAAATCAAATTATATATATATTTTTTATCTCTCGTCGAGGTTAACTAACGCGAACGGGGGTTGCAGATACGGTAAAGATATCAAGTGAAATTTATGGAAGAATTCACCTTTCAAGAAAAAGAAAAAAACAAGTTTGCAAGTATTAAATAACCCAAACCTCTGAATCATGATGAACCTTGTTTAGTTATTGTTGCTGTAATATAGATACGTGAGCTGTGGTTCGCGTCTAGTGAGAGATCGCGGCCATTATATTTATAAAAGTGCCTTCTTCTTCGATACCGGATACCCTGCTCTCCCGCGGTGCGTGCGATGACGTCATTGACGTTTGGTGCGGCACGGGTTCTGTGGAACGAAATTAGCAGACACGAGCGAACCCAATATGAAGTTGATGTGTACACGTTTCTGGTTCTTTAACTGAGATATTTTAAGTTCGATTTAAATTCTAATCCTATTTTAAATCGCAGTTTCATTCATCGGTAGCCATCTTTGTGGCTTGTGGAGTATTTGTTATTGTTTATTGTCCAGAGTATTGTAATCATAATGGCGGAAAAGACTCTGCTAATTCCCGAGGGTTGTTTCCCAACACATCCACACGTAAGTGATTATTTTTATCATTTGTTGTTCATTAGTGTATATCTACATCACAACAATCTTTATTATCAGCCTTGCACGCTTTCTCTTGTCTATTCCGAGGCTTACTCGACTTATTTATAAACACTGAACATATTTTTGAGGTTATTGTTAGACCACCAACAGCCTATAATTGTATAGTTATATTCTACACTGTTTAAACCAACGATTCTATTGTAAGGATCAGGCATTATGAGCAGCACACGTCTTAACACATAGACACGCACAAGGGGCGCTTCACGATGAGCCTAGGGGCACCATGCTAATCTATATGTATGTTGTGACTTGATGTTTGTTGATTAATCTTTGCTGTACATCATGTCGTATTTTTAATGTTTAAACACTGATTTTATTGGAAGTACCAATAACAATAAATTTATCAGCCTTTTACATGGGTAAGGCCACGGTACTAGTACAGAGTGTATTGTGTCCTGGTTACAAGCTGCGGTTAGATGTGAAGTTAATTATGTACCCAGTAAATAAAAGAGAGAGAGAGAGAGAGAGAGAGAGAGAGAGAGATGGGGTCCACTCATCACAGACCAGGCCATTTCGGGACCAACATATGGTTTAATTTTATTTCAATAATTCGCTTACGCGTAGGGGTCTTTAGCAGTGGGAGGAAACCGGAGGACCCGGAGAAAACCCACGAGGTTGGGCAGACAACCCTACTCCTTGTCACGTACAACCGGGGATTCGAAACCACGCCAGTTGACTCAATGACAGGCCTTATGATACAGCGCGCACGTGCTAACCATTCGGCCATCCATTGTAAGGATCAGTTCCAAAAGCAACGATTTCACTGTAAGGACCAAACATTAAAAGACGAGTGACGGGTGCAGGGGCGGATCCAGTAATTTTTACAGGAGGGGGTTTGCCGGGTTTCTGAGACATTTATCTCCCCCCCCCCCTCCCGCATTGCCTCTATCGTCATTTTGGCGTATATACATACACATTGAGATTTTTAAACAGAGCAATTCAACATCTCGCTTGACGTCAGTTTTTATTATGAATTAATACAATGACATTGTGATTCAATTTCATGGATGCAAAGCATCCATTGTGATATCACATGTCTATATCATTATCTCGTGCTTTGAGTACCCATCCTGTCCCACATCCGATAAAGGATAAAGCACACAGTTAAGAAACTTTTCTCAAAAAAAAGTTTTGATTTACAAAAACTTTTATGTAGCTCCCCCCCCCCCTGGATCCGCCCCTGGGGTGTCTATAATCATAATGCAACGATCCCATATCAAGCATTAAAAGATGGGTTTCTATATTCAAAAGCTAGGAATGAACTCGGATATTCTATATATAAGTAAAAAATAATGTAAGGTTACACTAGGCTTAGAATTCTTTGTGGGGGTGGGGGTGCAGAATGTTGGGTAAAGAGGGTGGGAGAATTGAAATGAAATGAAATTGATATAAACAGTTGACCCAATTTTAAACCCCGCAAAACAGCTTATTTTGTATAATTAAGTCAGACGATGTGCATGCATGTTTGGCGACCGACGTCGAACACAATGTCCCAGCTTAATGGAGATTACTATCAGCGTAATTTATTTTGTCAATAATCCGCTGGCTTACAGGACAATATTTAATAACAAACAGTTGAAAGAAACCGGAGAACCAGTTGAGATAAGGAAAGTCACCCCTTTCGTTGTCACCAACTCATGACTTTGTGTATGACAGCTCTTGTGTTCTTGTGCACGCGTTAGACCCTAATCCGGCCGAGAAAGTACATAGGGTTCTCCGGGCGTGGTTTCCCCATGTCAGTGGTGCAGAACGGAGAGTCTGACAAAGACAGCTGTCTAATCATTCGAATGAGACGAAAAACCGAAGCCCCGTGTATACATTGGCGTGCACGTAAAAGATTCCTTGGCAGATGCAATTCCATATAAGAGTAGGCCATGGTGACGCTTCCCGGGCAAAATTCTCCCCCCCCCCCATAGCACATTGTATGTCGTATGCCCTTCTTCATTAGACCAACTGGAGCAGAACAGTAGGACGTTAAACCCCATTTCATTTCATTTTGTAAAGTTGTATTTTACTGGAATCTAATATAGGATAATGATCTCAGGGGATCACGTTTAAGTGTGGTATAAATATAAAAACCAGCAAACGTTGAAATAGTTTAAAATCGATAATATTTAAAGGGACGCTATTACTTTGGAGAAATGAAATCTACTTTTCTGCACCACCGGGATAATGAAGACGAGCATTCGCAATGCAGTGTGCTAGGAAGGGAATATTGCCCGGGCAGCGGCACTACGGCCTAGGCATTCTCTTATTTCAAATTCCAACTGTCAAGGTTTTTTTTTTACGTGCACGCGAACGTGTACACGGGACATGTTGTTTTTTTTATACAACCCGATTGACTAGACACTAGGCCTTGCAACGCCCTCCGCCCTGCACTACTAGGCCTTGCAACGCCCTCCGTCCTGCACCACTGACGAGGGGAAACCTCAGGGAACTTTCCCGGCCAACGTGGCTACTTGCTTTGGGGATCTTGGTGGGTGAGTTTGGCGTCTTTAGACTATACTGTTACACAAGCCGTGTTCAAATCAATCTGATTAAAACACAGATCCTGTTTCGTGTCATTTTTTAGTTCAAAATTTCGTTTTATCTGTCTTTACTACGTAGGTTCTGGAAGTGTTGTTATATAACCGGCGTTTTGTTTGAAGTGAGGGATTAGCCAAAGAAACGGTCTGTTACGACATTTCGTTTTATCTGTCTTTACTACGTAGGGTCTGGAAGTGTTGTTATATAACCGGCGTTTTGTTTGAAGTGAGGGATTCGCCAAAGAAACGGTCTGTTACGACGAGTTATTTGCCTTTTGATGCCTGACGTGAATTCCCACTATAACTTGTCAGATCTTTATGTAGTGTAGGCCATCGAAAGTATAAAAAACGAAACGAAATATTGATCTGTATTTTAATCAGATTGTGTTCAAATTATATGTTTTAAATGTCAATTTGAGAGCCGTAAATTTTGTTTAGTAGTGGTAAAGATCTTTGATGAAGGCTGGTGAAAAGTATTTAGCTTGGTAATTGCTGGGATTTTCGACAATTAGATGAATCTAATGTTACTTTTAATGTGATATTACTCAGTATTAATTACGTTTAATTTCCTGGTAAAAGTGATAATCACCCTTTAAAATACACGCTCAGTAACCATTGGTTACGGTGGTGACGTAACATTCTGAAATCATGATTTCAAATTATCACCGATTGTAAGAAATTTGCGTTCTTGATTCAGAACACTGGGCTCTCAGCCAAACATTTTGGGGGTTTTTTTCCACTCAAGACACGCTTTAATCGGTTCCCAATAGCGATCACGGTAAAGTGTGCTAAAGTCAAAATGCTTATGATATTTTAGGAATGAGATCGATTTATTTAACTAGGACCAGCTGGTTTCCTTGACAGAACAGATTACCCGGATTAATATTGGTCCAAGAAGCTTAAAGTCGGATCCTAGTTCGGTCTTCTAAAAGTGGTTGGGTTTAAGAATTTGGGGGTTAGGGTTAGTATTCCCTAGAATACTCATTTATATAAAGCGGCCACAGTGAACTCCGGAAATTCCCAACCCTCCCCAAACGGCCTACAATTGGCATCTCCCAACCAGAATATTATTATATTTTTTCTGGCCTTATGTTCCGTTGTGCGCTCGCTGCACACGCGCACAGCTTAGAGGGAACAGTAGTAATAATATTATTAACAGACCATCGTTAAATTTAAATAGCTGACATGAAATACTGGTATTCATGACATGACATTTATGTTTTGTTTTGTGTCGATGGGTGTAATGCGGTAATCGTATCTGTCTGTATCAATTACACTTTAATAGCTCTTGACTTGATTGAATAGAAGAGAGAGAGAGAGAGAGAGAGAGAGAGAGTTTTGAAAAATTAAGAATACATAATCAAGACAGGAATAGGTTGATTTATTAATGGTATAGACATTTCCCGATAACCAATTTCAATAACACACCATTTCAACCCCACCGTGCACTCCTGTTTCTATATGTGTGACTCATTCATTAAAAACAAAACGTCATTTTACATCCTTGAAATTTGTTTACCACTGTCTGGAATAACACAATTTTAATTTGTTTTTAGAATTACGGAATGATCCTGGTTTTGAATCACCTCGTCCACTCCTAACTAACCCATCCTTTCTGTAACAGCATTGACCTAAATACGAAACCTTAATGTTCAAAACCAATTTCAGCATTGTTTCATGTACAGCTAAGAACCTATCCCTATTGTAACAGCTTCGAGGGGAAAGTACAACATGTTTAAAAACAATTTCACCATCATTTCTGATCTACAATTTGATCTAATACTGCACTTCACCTTATAAATGTCCTGTTTGGCGATAAACGATATTCCAGCTGGTTGCTTGCCTAACTTTGTTTTTATTTTCACACAACTACATCTCTCTCTGTCATTCTCTCGGTCGGGGGTTGGGGGCCGAATGGTTAACGCGTGCACTTGAGTCAAGTAGCGTGGTTTCGATTCCCTGCTTGTACGTGATAAGGAGTAGGGTCGCCTGTCCATATGTTGAATCATATGTTAGTCTCTCTCTCTGTCTCTCTCCCTCCCTCTCTCTCTCAAACACACACCCAGCCTCCCTCCCATTGGACTACAATAATAGAAGTACAGTCGGTTCTTACCCTCAGTTAACTCCTCTCTCCTTCATTTTCTAATTACGTCTGTGTTTAATTAAACTTTAAACATCGCAAGAGAATGTAAAAAAAACAATCATCATTTATAAATCTCAAAGTCACTTGAATTCTACGTTGACGAACTATTTACACGGCTGTTTTTAATTATGACGTAACGTGAAAAAACATGGCGTATGTCAACAAGTATACTCATAAAATATTTAACACGTGATATTTTATAGCTCGCTAGTTAAGAAACTATGTCGTATCGCGTCCATCTTTTTACACGTAAAATAAAA